CCAACGCAGGTAAGCCTAGCAGTTCGTATGCGAGAAATCAGGGCAGCGTGCGAGCAGCCACATTTGCTCAGGAGCATAACCGACAAGTTTGAAATAACCCGCTCTTTGAAACGTGCTGCAGCCACACTAGGGGTCATCAACCATCCTGAGATTCTAGACTTGGTGAGTTCGCGTGAAACAGATACCACAACGTGGTGGTTGCGATTACAGCGTGTTGTGCACCGCTGCGATTTGCAGGAACAGTTCAGTGACAAGCGCCAGGTCAGGGCCGTGCATTCGAGGCAGCATGAGGTGGAGAAAGACAAGCGAAAAGCAGTGCACAATATAGTTGCGGCCCCCCCCCTAGGACGTATGAGGGCATTTTCAAAAGGTTCATTTGCGATAGGCTCCGCGCTTCTGCAAATGCGGATGGGTTCTTTAGTCTGCCGGCGCAGCACACATTGCAGGATGCTACTTATCAGGTGGTTCCGTTATCTTCAGAGCACAGAGGCCAGCTTCATGATGTTCATGATGATGGGGAGGGCAGGGGCTGGATTCTTCCTAGACACTGTGATCTGGATGATGCAGAGCCTGTAGCAGCTGCACCATCAGACCGTTTGATCTTCCGCATGTTGCACAGCATGCCTTCTAAGATGAAGTTTGTACCATCACCAATTGCTTCAAGGCCCATGTTTCAGCCAGGAGAATCAGTTGTGACGCTGCACTCAGTTTTGCATGAAACTGACAGTGGCCCCTTCATCAACGTGAGCGCCCAAGCCCTGCCCCAATGCCTCTCACATGTGGAATCATGTTCGCTTCAAGTTTTGCGAGAGGATCTCAAGAGCTGGCAGTTGTCAAGCAAGATTCAGTACACGCTGCCATGTGAGGGTTTTGCGCCGCAGGAAGTCATGTCTTTTGTGAGTTCCCTACTTGAGGCCAAAGGCATTCCCGACGAACCTTATGTTGATTGTCCAGAACACGAAAACATGTGTGCCAGCTTGGCACAGAAGGGCTTTCTTCAAATTGCACCGCGGCATGTGCCCCAGCCCCTTCGTGCACGATTGAATCAGCATGGCATGCAGTGTCTGCAGATTGTGAGTGCTTTGCAAAGTCCCCAGCCAATTTGCCGTCAAAGTAACTCGCGGTTGTCTGAATGTGATGCTCTGGATTTTGCCTTGAAGCTGGAGCAAGCAGGGTGGGTTTGGAATGCGTTGCCTGCAAAAACCAAGGACAGGCGGGGGTTGACTTACAGGGCCGACAGTCCTAAGGTATGGTACAGTCTTTCCCACTATGTAAACAAAGATTACCTTCGCTGCCTCCTGGAAGCAGACCGCATCTTTGCTCTGGGGGTTGTGACAGAAGTGCCCCATTGGACCACGCAACCAAACAAAGTGTACCCTGCTTTGTTGAGAGGTGAGGACATATCAGCTTTGGAGCTTGCCCCACCTCGCGCAGGGTGTTCGTAAAGTGCTTCAGTCTGATGTGGCAGATGATGGTGATGCCCCCGTGCCCCGAATCCAAGATGCTGATCCTGCACGCCAACAGCTTGACGATGATTTGGCCATTCTGGGCCGAGGTTCACATGCTGAAGCCCGGGTGGATGATGATGATGATGTGGGTAGTGATGAGCTAGTTAGAGAGCTAGAGGCCCTGTTTCAAGTTGATGATGAGCAGTCCCAGGCGGAGCCAGATGGTGTTCAGGCAGACCCAGTTCCTCCAGAGCAAATGGAGGATGTGCAAATGCAGGACCCGCCGTTGGAGGAACCACCAGTCGTAGCACCTCCGGGGGAAGATGATGGGGCTGACTCGGATGTTTCTGATCTCACAAAACCTGCGATGTGGGGGGTTTTCAGGCTGACGCCTAAACAACCGGCGAAGGGTCGTAAGATTGGAGGCTACGAAGCCTCGTGCCCCTTTCACAGGCGCAATGAGGTCACTGCATGCAAAAAGTATTTACAACTTCGATCTGATTCGCCTGCAGAGAGGGCATCCTGTATTCGTGCGTTGAAAGCATGGTGTGCAACTGCTAAATCGTATGCGAGGCAGCGTTTGCATTTGAATCATTATGTTTCCATTGACGCAGCACCCACAGATGAAGTTTTGAATGCCATGATAATCACAGAGAGGCCCGAAGGCAAGCCCAAGACAGATAAAGAGCTAGATGCAGAAGATGCAGCTGCAGTTGCGCCAGCTGCCAAGAGCCAGCCAAAAGCAAAAACCACATCCAAAGCCAAAGCCAAACCGAAGCCTAAGCCTGCTGCAAAGGGAGGGTCCCGGGGAAGGGGTAGAGGTAGAGGCCATGCTGGTGCTGAGGATAATAGGCCTCAGGATGAAGCTGCTTCAGATCCGGAATCAGATTCTAAATCTTCTTCGAATTCTTCATCAGATTCTAGCTCATCTTCAAGCTCTTCGTCAAGCTCTGCGCCTGGTTTGCACTAGCGCTAGCACTCCTTGGAAGGTGTAAGACGGCCATGTGGGTTTTGAGCCAATCTTCCACTTGCTTGCTGGCAACTGAGTGAAATCTCCAAACTTGATGCCTGCTGCGATCGATATGCCGTGGAAGGACTGCGTTATCCTGCTTCAATTCTAAGTTGACTTCTCCAGGCTTGCGTGTCCAGAAACATGCTTTGCAGGACCAGATATGATGAGATATGATGAGATATCGGATTATTCGACGGCCCGTGTGAAAATCCATCTTGCCTGGCACTGCATGCGCTGCCTGAGTAGCCTTTGCCTTGCCATAGTTTCAGGTTTGTTGCCCCCTTATTATGTATAGTCCCCCTTAAGTAG